TCAAGCAGCAACCGAGTACAGAGGTCGTAACTAGAAAAGATAATTGTTTGCTTTACTTTAGTTTCTGTTCTATGTTTCAAGAACAATAAGTATAAGAACTTATTACAAAATAGCAATAATATATATACGTATATAATGTTTATTATTTTGCAAAATACTAGTCTACTAAAACACAGCCAAGACAAGTTACTTAGTATAGACCAAAAGTCAATTTTATGTTATTTAATATGGTAACATGAGTGCACGTCAGCTGCATCATTGTAACTTCTGTATTGTTAGTTGGGCATGGCTGAAAAATCAATATAATAAAAATAATAAATGTATAATGTTATGAAATTTAAGCTATTTAGTCTAAAAATTTGTTTTTGTTATAATTTGTGTTCATTCTAGAATGAAAGAGGCATAACTTGTATTTAATTCCTAATTTTTTTATGGTGTTTGTGAGATCGATCAAATCTACTGAACCATACAGAGATTAATTACTGAAAATATTAAATAAAATAATAAGTTTTTTTCTAAAGGAATGTCTGATAATTATCTGGACATTATAAAGATCTCTCATGTGAAATTTCAAAATTTTCTGATGCATAAAAGTATTTTTGATCTTCAAATAAATATTACTTTGCATGATAGATAGGCATCATGCAAGAAGAAAAAAAAAGACATGAGAAAATTGAGCCTGTGCTGAGTTAGTAAAGCACTATAATACCTTTGGTGGTGGTGAATATATGGTATGAGAATGAATAAGTATTGATGGACATACTGACCTCTACATTCTGAAGAATGATACCATCTATTGAAGTGAAATTCCATGAAATGTAAAATTTTATCTGCCAACTAGTTTCTTGCCTTAAAGCTTTCTTAGCATAATAAGCACCTTGTAATTATCTTTGTAGCAGTTACATACCTAAATGATGCTACTTTACAAGCACCTTAAATATTACTCAAGGAAAATGTTTCAAAAATGAGAGCATTGTTAGAACTGTGTATCTACTTTGTGTGACTACATAATGTGTTAGTGAAGACTTAAAGATCTTCAAAAAACTGTTTTTTCTCAATTTATTGATGTTTAATAATCTCATATGCATCTTTGTGTACAAGACACTAAACTGATTTTCTCTTGCAGTTCTTGGCCAGTTTGAAAGCAAATAAAGAACACTGTAAAACCTGTGCTAATATTGAAATGTTTATGAAATTAGAAATTTTGAAGGATTTTAAAAATCTTGGATCTAGAAGTAGATTTCTCTTGTTTTTAAAGTAACCCTAATTCAACTAGTCTATCATTTTGATTTGGAAACCAAATTAGGTTTCATACAACAGATTTTTTTAATGGTTGTTTCTTATGTACCAGTTTTATACATGCACATTGCCACCAGTATTCCATTATCATGCAGAATCATTATGTCCCAATCTTTTATACAGGTTAAAGGTTAGGTTACAGCTTTATTAGTGATATCAGTCAGTATTGAATAAGAAATTTAAAATTAGTGGAAATGAAAAATTATTGTAATCACTTATTTTAATTCTATGGGTTTTTGAGTCAAATATACTTCACAATATAGTAACCTGAATAAATTCAGGTATGTAAATAATATTGACGTTTTGTATTTTTCATTGTTCGATATTATACAGCAGACTAAGAAAATAAATGTACAACACACACATGATGTCATAATGCATAATTCCTGTGGTCACACCACCCAAGTGTGTTGGGATATCAGTCTATCAGATAAAATCAAAACGCTGAAAATAAACTAGCCAGCTGTCATGGGAAATCAATAAAGGGTATGGAGCTGAGTACTTACACCCACAACGTCTCAACTCCTACTGCCTTTCACTGTTTGCAGCCAGTTACCCTTACAGTTCTTGAATTTCTTAAAGTAGAAATGAAACCACCCTAAAATTTCTACAGTGTAAAACTCCCAACTTCCACCCTTACAAAAAAGATATTAAATGATATTAAGGTATGGTTTGTAGTTATATTTAATATCTTTTTGTAAGGGTTGAGATTGGAAGTTTTGTATATTAGAAATTTAGGATGATTTCATTTCTATTATAAGAACTTCAAGAATTCTAAGGGAAATTGTCTTCCCACAACTGACTGCAGACAGTGAAAGACAGTAGGAGTTGAGACGTTGTGGGTATAAGCACTCTGCTCTGTGTCCTTAATTGATTTTCCATGTCAGCTGGCTAATCTATCATCAGGATTTGGAATTTATTGCCTTATAGATGGAATATTCCAAACACACTTGGGTGGTATTACCACAGGCATTATCCATTGTGGCATCAAGTTGACACTAGGACCAACAATGGCAATTTTACTATAATGCTTGTTTCTCTCTCTCTCTCTCTCTCACACACACACACACACACACACACACACACACACACACACACACACACACACACACACACACACACACACACACACACACACACACTTATTTTAATTCTGTTGTTAAGTTTTGCTTTTTTTCTTTTGTTGTTGTTGAAGGAATTTGCCTGTAATGGTACAGTTGTGGAGCACCCCGAGTATGGTGAAGTAATTCAACTTCAAGGAGATCAACGAAACAACATCTGTCAGTTTTTGACGAAAGTTGGGATTGCCAAACCCGATCAGCTGAAAGTTCATGGTTTTTAATCAAGTTTATTATAATGCAAGTTTCTATGTAAAACCTTTTCTTGCACCCAGTTTTGTAGTTTTTCTGCAGTAAAGAAAATAGTTACTTTAAGTTCCATCAAAAAAAGATTTGTTTATATCTTGGCATCATGTACCTAAATTCAGTTGATATTTATAGTCAGTCTTGTATGCTATTAGGGTAAGCTGAAAAACATTGTAATATGAACAAACATTTTTTAATATGATTAACCATATTTTATGGATGAGATTTGTACTTGGTTGCCCAAGACAATAAATTTCGTAGTTCATTATCATCTTGTTCATTTTCTTTGTGTCATATGCAGAACTGGGGGTTTTCTTTATGAAATTCCTGCAGGAATTTAGTGACCTTTTCACATGTTTAAATGTGGCTTATTGCATTGAACATTTAAGTTGATTTTGTGTAAAAAAATAAACTAATGTAAAAGAATTTGAGATGTTTCAGTTTATGCTTCATTAGCCAGACTAAATACATACTTTAAAAGTATTGAATATTATAGTAAAAAAAAAGTGCTTATTATTCATGCTGAATATTAGTTTGGCCTGTGTTGAGGTTCAACATTTCCATACTTGGATATTTTGGTTTCTTCAGCAACCACTCAAGGTATTTTTTAGTTGCAACTTCAAATAAAGGTGGTATTACCAGAGAGAAAGTGATGATATTAGAGATTGGGGCATATGGTTTTTGAAAAAAATGACCTTCCAGACATTCTTCTTTATCCTAAAGTGTTGGCTCTGCTGGTTAGATTTGTGAAAGAGATGTGTAGTATTAAGTAGCCTATTTTTGAGGAGTTAATCCTACAGCAATTGTTTTGGGTCTATAATTCCATCTTATGTTAATGAAATATTCAAAATATCTGTAATCCCAGAGGAGAGAACAAAGGGTGTAAAGGGTTGGATATTCTGGTCATTGTTAAGACAAACACATCACCTCTCATGTCCAAAAAATCTGTGTGAGCATGAAGTTTGACTCCTTCCTGTTCCACATTTGCATGGCCTGAGAAAGTGGTGGAACATGTATATAATATCATAATATAGCTGCCTGGACTCTCTTCTTGTAAGTAACAAGAGTAATTCTGTACCAGTGTTCTTTCTAAGCTTCATTATCTCAGCCGTGCACATCCTCAGTAATGGTGAGGAGTCTCCACACACTGACGGGCTTAATGACCCTGGTAGTTGATAGGCCTAAAGCCCAAATAACCAAATGATATAAAAATACCTCTCCCTAAAACAAAAATGGTAGTGAACATCTGCACATTGCATTGATACTGGTGCACATGAAAAAATTCATTCCACACATGGATTTAAAAAAAATGGGAGGGAACATTGACCATCAATCTTAGAAAGCATTCAGTCCCAAAGTGTGATTTAAGAATAAGAAATATTCACTCTGAACACCACCTAACCCCCCCCCCCCCCCTAATTTACAAATTAAAGTTTAAAACT